CCACTATCACTACTATTGCTTGTATCACTAGTATTACTACATTGCTACTATTACGAATTGCTGAATACGATTATTATTAGTATTACAGTATTAGTTTTGCTAGTATTACTACTATCACAACTACTATACTGTTCGCCTGGCAAGACCGCAGATGACCGCGCCATGTTGAAGTTCCTTGCTTCGTCGCTCCCCGAAATCTCCAACCTCGTTTCGTTTCGTCTGCTGTGCGTGAACCCAGTTGTGGGTTTCAAGGAGGAGCGGCCACAGGCAAGGCCGGCAAGCCCGCCGGTAAAGCAGCCGGCCACGAAGGCACCGCCGCCGGTTTTTGTAGCCGCGAGCTCAAACTGATGCCGTGCACATGCAGCAGATTGCGGCTGTGGTTGTACGAAGTTTGTAAAACGCAGACCAAGGAGGACAGGGTACCGGATGCTGACTGCTCTTCCGCGCAGCCGCCAGCGAAGGCACAAGTCGTCCAGCCCAAACGAAAGATTCCGCCGGCGTGTGAACTTCTTGCTGTGAAGGATGAGGTGCCAGCCGATGCGGCCCGTTCCGTGGAGGAGTCTTCTGCTTGTTGGATGCCTGACGTGTGCGGGGCCTCGCCGCCGAAAACCCGGATCCTGATGTTAATGAGACTTGAACAGCTCGAGCCATGCTTCGAGGAGGAGCGGCCACCGGCAAGGCCGGCAAGCCCGCTGGTAAAGCAGCCGGCAACCAAGGCACCGCCGCCCTTCCTTGCAGCTGCGAGCTCAAATTGATGTTGCGAATGCGAGCACGCAGCAGAAGAGTGCTGTTGGGGTGCGGAGTGCTTTCAACCGCAGACCAAGGAGGACAGGGCACCAGATGCTGGCTCCTCTGCCGCGCAGCCGCCAGCGAAGGCACAAGTCGTCCAGCCCAAACGAAAGATTCCGCCGGCGTGTGAACTTCTTGCTCTGAAGGATGAGGTGCCAGCCGATGCGGCCCGTTCCGTGGAGGAGTCTTCTGCTTGTTGGATGCCTGACGTGTGAGGGGCCTCGCCGCCGAAAACCCGGATCCTGATGTTAATGAGACTTGAACAGCTGGAGCCATGCTTCGAGGAGGAGCGGCCACCGGCAAGGCCGGCAAGCCCGCTGGTAAAGCAGCCGGCAACCAAGGCACCGCCGCCCTTCCTTGTAGCCGCGAGCTCAAATTGATGTTGCGAATGCGAGCACGCAGCAGAAGAGTGCTGTTGGGGTGCGGAGTGCTTTCAACCGCAGACCAAGGAGGACAGGGCACCAGATGCTGGCTCCTCTGCCGCGCAGCCGCCAGCGAAGGCACAAGTCGTCCAGCCCAAACGAAAGATTCCGCCGGCGTGTGAACTTCTTGCTCTGAAGGATGAGGTGCCAGCCGATGCGGCCCGTTCCGTGGAGGAGTCTTCTGCTTGTTGGATGCCTGACGTGTGAGGGGCCTTGCTGCCGGAAACCCGGACCCTGATTTCAAAGAGACTTGAACAGCTGGAGCCATTCTTCGAGGAGGAGCGGCCACCAGCAAGGCCGGCAAGCCCGCTGGTAAAGCAACCGGCAACCAAAGCACCGCCGCCCTTCCTTGCAGCTGCGAGCTTATTATCATGTTGTGAGCAAGCAGCAGATGTCCTTTGGCAGTGCGCAGTTTGTCCAAACAAGACCCAGGAGGCACCAGAGGCCGACTCAGAAGCCAAGCAGCCGCCGGCGAAGGCGAGAGTTGTCCAGTCCAGATCGGAGATTCCGCCGGCGGATGCACTTCTTGCTTTGAAGGATGAGGTGCCGGTCGAGGCGGCCCGGCAGATCATGCATTGTCGAATGTGCCGGAATCTGCTCACTTAGCCTATGCCGAGCCCAGGCCCTCCACTGTTAGGTTGCACAGTGGAGAGCATTTCTATTCCAGTTTCTGGGGCATTTCTAGTTTGTCCCCAGCGCTAGGAGAAGAAACCGGCGGCAAAGGCACCGCCGCCCTTCCTCGTGGCCACACGGCGAAAGAGATTTGCTGATAACGTAATTTTAGTTTGCATATTGAATGCATGCATGATGCACGTTACTATTTGCGACCTTCATCAAGTGACAGAAAAACATACCGAAAGTTGAAGCCTCGCCTTGGACGTACCCTCCTCATGCACCTCGGGAGTGAGGAAACTCCAGCAGAGCAGTCTACGCCGAAGGAGGCAAGGCTGGATTCCGGTACTCTTCCGCGAGCTGTGGTCATGAGGCTTCTTATGAGAACGTAGCTAAATACACACCCGCCGCGACGCCGCGACCGATGCTGCTCCTATTTCAACAGCTGATGCTGCTGCTGCTGAACTTGTTTCGCCTCTCCTCCTCCTCCTCCTCCTCCTCCTCCTCCTCCTCCTCCTCATACTACCTCTGGTGGCAAATCTAGGTCATTATTGTAGCTATTCCTGCTGATGTAGCAGGTTGTAAAGCCTGCAGTGGGAGGCATGTAGGTAGGGGGATGTAAGTAAGTAGGCAAGATAGATCCGCTGCATCAGCTGACAAGATAGGGCTCTTACGAGGGACGGGCTGGCTTAGGTGTTAGTAGGGGCCAGTTTTCCCAAAAAATGATAGTTGCTGCTCTTGGATACTGGATGTTTCGCAGATTACTTCGATGTGTCGGACACCTTTTCAGGCTTTTGGTCGAAGAGTCGAAAAGCTTGTCCAAAATCTTGACGTTTTACCGCGTTGGGTTCTCTTTTGGGAAGTCCAGTTTATTGAACATTTGCTGCTGGATTCTGGAGTTTCCAAAGCGGCGCGGGTTGGGCCAGAGGCTCCTTCGGATAGGCAGCTGGCAGCCGCTTTCATTACGGGACCCACCCCCGCAGCAGTCCGAATCAGCGCAGCTTCGACACCCTTCCGCACACTTCCGAACCACGACATGAGGCTTGTAAGGCACCGTGCCCGTGTCACGTTCACAACCTAGCAGCGTTGAAGTCAGACAGCAGCCTGCAGCCACAGTGTGGCAAGGAGGAGCAGAGATCGGAGCCAATCTTGACGGCAGAGGAGACAAACGCAACGGAGTGAGTGTGAGTTCTCTCTTCTCCAAACTGATTCCGTGTCCCCGAAATAGACAGTTCTGGCAGTACTTATGCGCACAGTCTCCCCAGCATGTTCACTTGCCGTTGCAATTCTGCAGCCCATGGAGGACTCCGTCTCCGCAGAGCCCTGCCGGACGCTCCATCCACCTGAGGCAGAGGTGCCGCGCAAGTTGGTTCGTTCTGTCAGATTTGCCGACAGACCCCGATTTCCGTATCCAAGGGTACTCCAAACTCTTTTAAGGCATGTTGGTGGGTGCTGCATCGCGAGTTGTGGCATGAACGCCGAACAACGCGAGACACGAAAACTGATATCGTTTCAGTATCAGTAGCATCAATGGCATGCCGGAGGGGTGAACATTTATTTCAGAATTCGCTCGCCGTCTGTGTATGCGCGGAGTGAGCACGCACCGTCTCTTGTCGGACTGCAACTTGGTGCTTCTTGGTGCGGGGGCCTCCGAATGGGAGCTTTGAAGCCAGAACACGGCTCCCAGACTCCGGCAAAAAATTCAGGTTCCGGCTCCTCCCAAGAACCTGCCTGCAAGGGTTCGCAAAAGCCCGGGGGCAGCAACATAAAACCGGAATGAACACTGAACTGAGGGCTGGGGGGCAGTTGTGACCTGGAAGGGTCTCTTGCTTGAATGTCAGAAGTCCGAGAGAGTGATTTGCTCAACTCTTGGCTCGGGGGAGACTTCGCCAGCCTGAGGTTTTGGTTGAGTTCGTGGGAGGCTATTTTTTTTTAGATCTGTGTGGAGCCTTGCGCCCTTACAGGATCCAGACTGAAACAAGGTGCTCATACAGATTTTCCGAGAGACACAAACACACACACACACAGAGACATACGCAAAAAATTAATCATACGAATACATACATACCTTCATACTCGCACACACCGACATACGGACATACGGACGGACAGGCAGGCAGACAGGCAGGCAGGCAGGCAGGCAGACTGTTCCTGCGCCCCGGCCCGGCCTCATCCCTCTATCCCTGCATCCATGCATACGTCTCGCATGCATACGTTCGTGTTTTATTTGACCTTAGAACGGCACCCGCAGCGATCCAGGTTGATGGGCCACCAGTAAGCCCGCCGCCGGCTCCATCAGCAAAGGCACCGCCGACGTTCATGGCGGCTGCCCGGCATCTCAAAGCAGGAGAATGCAAGCCAGTCAGCAAAATTATGCTGATTGTCATCGTCTTTCGCCTTCCGCCACTGCTTTACTCGCATTTTCGTATTGCGAATGGCACATCTTCGGCTGCTTTTGTCCACCAAAACTTGCTTGTTTTGGCAGCTCGATTCCCTACATTTGTGTGGTCCAAATCGGAAGAACACGACTGTGCCGCATTTCATGCTAGTGCTAAGTTTTCCGCCAGCAGGAGCTGATTTCGGAGGATTTGTTGGTGATATGTGTTTCCAAGCTTGACAGCTTCGTTGGCACTCGTGAAGGCACGTGTCGGACGGGTGGAGCTTCGTGTTTGCTTTCTGTAAATGCCTTGCTGTGGTCAATCAAAGGCCGACGAGCACGGCTCTGTGGATGCGAAAGCACCCGTCCCGATCCTTGCCTGATGCAAGTCCATGAATTGCAGCTGCAAAGCATCAGGGAAGCCTACGGAGCGCAATGCCTCTGATTGATTCTTCAACTGCACACTAGCACGCGAATTCTGACATTGCCCCAGGATGGTGCGGCAGCCGGAGGTCAATGGCGCAGAGGTCATCTTAAGTACAAAGGTCTCGCTGATGGCTGCCTCGTTCGGAAGTTGGCGGACGCAAGTACTCTGCAAGAGGGAAGGGAGAGAAGGGAGGGACGGCAGGCTGCACCGGCGGGCGGCTCGCCATGCTCAGAAGGCCTGCGCAACTGGCCTCGCAGCACTGCCTTTTGGACAGTTAGAAACGATTCGGAGCGATTTCCGCTTGTGGTTCAGATGACTTTCAGATGTAGTTCTTGACAGATTCTTGATGTTTTGAGGCTTCAGGTGTTCTGCCATGGCGGCCCTCAGCTCGAAAGTTGCGGGATGGCTGCGAGACTGGCGTGTGCAAGCATTGGCGCTGCTTGCACTTTCCCTCCTGCTAGCCCTTCTACAATACAGCATCTCGTGGGGAGTGCTCTGCCTGTGTGAGCTGTTGCTTTTCCGCTTTGTGCCGAAACGGCGTGCCTATGTGGACATGGTGCTGCTGGCGCTACCCTGCCTGGTTTTAATGACATATCTTGTTTTTGCTATCGCACTGTCCGCCATAGATGGTGACATGTTCTCGGACATGTTCTTCATAGTCGTTGCTGTTGCCTTGTGGTTCTGCCAACGCTTCTCGTTCTCAACTGGACGCTCTGGCTCTGTTAGCCCTTCTGCTCGGGTGGAAGAAGCACAAGGAAGCTCAGAGCGGAACCGATGTTGTTGCATATGTTGCGGCTGTTGCGGAGTTGTCCTGGGCATCTCCCTGGTTGGGCAGGTGGTCGGCATGCTTATGTACCTTGCAACCGTCCCCAGGCCCGAATACACAGAGACTGCTATCGCATACTGGTGCTTGGGCGAGCCCAACAAGTCCCTCGTCGTCTTGGAGCCCGGCTACCTGGCCTCGCCGGGAACACTCTACTTCGTCCAGCATGAACTCGCACAGACCACACGTGTTTGCATCTACGACCCAGTGGGGACCGGCTTCAGCGGAGGCCATGCTCCCAACTTCCGAAGTGATGCAGCAGCCATGAAGGAGCCTATTGAAAAAATGCCTCGCTCTTGTGCCCAGAAACCCCAAACCGTTAACTTGCGTCCCAAGTCTGAGTCAGGACGTGGTGAGTTCGGAGCTGGCCAAGCATGCTGATAGCGACTCCTGGCAGATCGTTGTTGGCGGCCACTCTCGAGGACACCTCACTGCATGCCGCTTCTGGCTGGATTATTCCAGCGTCTACGACAGGCTCGCGGTACTGGGGTTTGATGGCAGCCACTGCGGGCAGACAGCCTGTGGTTACTGCGAAGATTTTGGAGTCATTTTCGCGGCACTGCGACTTCTCATAGCTCCATTCTGGACGCTGTTTTCCGGATTGCTTCGCCTGACGATGGCCCTCTTTCAGGAGACCTTGATGCAGGCAATGGCGAGCAGGCCTGTGGATTTTCCGGACTATCCACCGGCAGCCGTGATCCAGCTGTCTGAACCCTACTTCTGGCCCAAGCTCTGGCGGAGCCAAAGCTTGCGGGGGGATGCATGGCTCAACTCCTATGATGGTCCAACGTGGTCTCAGTGCTGGGAGCAGCAGTTGACCGCCACTTCAGTTTCATCCAGCAGCCACCACCATTTGTATATAGATGCTTGGGGTGTTTGCACCGAACCCTGGTCATGTGCAGAGCACATGTCCATCATCTCGAGCAGCTGGTTCGCCAACATTGCGAGTGCCAAGGCTGTAGATTTTGTTGCCCGATGAGGCTGGAAAGAAGCGGAACGTAGTTCTGCACTGTGTTTTGAGACGTTTTCGATCATTCAAGCTTTGGCCATTAAAGGAAAGTGCATGGCTTGCGGTTCTTGGAGTGGCTTCCAACCGAAGCAATCGAGCGTTGACCATTCCCTGGACGAAACGCCTGCAATGTAACGTTGTAACACCGAGCTCAAATACAGTAATTACAGTGCAATTGGAAGGTGTAAGTGTGGCTCAAGAAATGTCACCGAACACCGGTACAACTTTTCAGATTGGGTGAGTTGACATCAGGCATTCAACAAAAAAGAGGTGGATACTCCGAATCCTCATTCTTTCGCTGCCAGACTGGCCGCGGACTTCAGACTAGCATGATCGAAGATGGGTAGAGATGATTTGACTGAGTCTCGTTGGCCTGATTGGTGGTTGGCAAAACAGGATCTCCAACTTATTGCTTCTTCGCCAAGAATCGCCAGAGCCAGCATCGGAGCCGGTAGATTTGAATCGTCGGGCTGGATAAGTGTGAAGAGCGAACGATTGACTGCGCCTTCAGCTTCAACTTGTCGGTGTGGTGCTGTTTCCTAGCAGCCCTGGGGCTCGTGGTCTTGCTGACTTGGGTCCAAGAATCCTAAACCCTCGGCCTGACGTCTTGTTATGGTGACGCATATAGCTTCTATTTGGGATGGTTTGGTGTTTGAAGCAGCCTTGTAGTGCGAAGCCCGAGAGACTTCGTCTGGCTCGGAGCTGCGAAAGCCTAAACCCAAAACACAAACCCTAACGGCCTAACGGCCCTAACCACCTTGGCCCAGGCGGAAGCGCGTTGCCGCCGGCCAAGGATATTTCCTCGGCCCCTGCGGTGCCAGGGCTCAATTAGATGTGATCCATCACCATCCATCGTTGTGTTCGCAACCCGCCATCTTTGAAATGTTGAAGCGCGACGAAGCCCTCATGATGCATGCGTGCGTGCATGATCGTGCATGCATGGATGGATGGTGGATGATGGAGGTATGTAGGTATGTATGCATGTGTGTTTGTTTGTTTCCTGTTTGTTTGTAGGTTTGTATGTTTGACTGTGTGTATGCTCGGGGACAACACTGTGCATGTGGCACGCAGCGTTTGATAAATTCCATCAGCAGGACAAGTCACTACACACACAGGGGGCCGCACGCCCCATGGTGGTACCTGCACCAACGAAGCTAGCCACCCTGTGGAAGCGGAGACTGATCGTCGGAGAGTGCGTGCAGAGTGATAAGCTGCTCGCATCTGCAACCCTGCCGTATGTTGATGTTCGCTGTTGCTCACATTTTCGCGGGTCATGTTGGAAGACAGGAGCGTTTGCCAATGATCTGCAAGTGCATGAATGGAAGAACCGGGTTCTATGATTGTCTGAGGGCGATCGAGTTACGAGTCGATGTTTGAACAATGTTCAGTTCGCCGCTCCCTCCTTTGACTATGAGTTGAAACCAGTAACATGGCATTGAATAGCCGTCTCCAAAGACGGCCGACGTGGCGTCAGGTGCGGCTGTGCCGATTCCCATCACCCGAATCTAGCGACCAATCAAGAGTCAAAGTCTTTGTGCGTGCGTGCGCGTGTGTGTGCGTGTGTGTGTGTGTGTGTGTGTGTGTGTGTGTGTGTGTGTGTGTGTGTGTGTGTATGTGTGTGTGTGCGTGCGCGTGCGCGTGCGAGTGCGCATGCGTGCGTGCGTGTGTGTGTGTGTGTGCGCGCGTTAGTGCAAGCAGGGTCTCTGTTAGCCTGCCACAGGGCCGCCAGCACAAGGGTTCGACTCGACATTTAGTCACGTATTTTCAAGGTTATTTCGGTTTTCAGGTTTCGAGATGTTTCGAGTTCTTGCAGTCTGAAGATCAAGGTCAAAGCGCCGCCGCCGTTCCTCAGCGAGGTGACAGAGGCAGAAAGGGGGGGAAGGGAATGGGTGCAACTACTGCTGTTGCTACTGCTGCTGCTGCAGCTCCTGCTAGTACTCCTACCACGGCTGCGACGACTCCTCCTCCTCCTCCTACTGCTGCTGCTACTGCTACTACTGCTACTACTGCTGCTACTGCTACTACAACTAGTACTTACTACTACTTCTACTGTGCTTCGGTTTTGTGTGTCGCGCACGCAACGGTGACTGGCATCTGAAAAACCAGAAAAGTCGAAACTTCGAATTTGTTTGTGTCAACCGCAGAACGCGAAAACTAGTTGTCTCGGGAGTCCAGAAGATTAGAACTATCTGGGCTTTGCAAGCGCGCATAGAGCCAGTGACAGTGAGGACATGCAGCATTGAAACAAAGTCTCCAAGGCGAAACTCAAAAATCGAAACCTTCCGAATGATGGCTCAAACAGCAAAGCTGGCATCGCCTAGCTTTACGCACCAAGCGTGTCAGGTCGGTTCGCGGACTTGATTGGTGTGGCGCCAGGCTGCCCAGATGCATCGATTGGGCTGTCGGAGTTCAGGTGTCGGACATCTTGTGGTAGAAAGACCAAACTGTAAACGAAAGCAGCTACTTGCAGTGTTGGGGAGGGTGTGCATGTGTCAGGCACGAGCAGACAAGAAGGTAGGAAGCGCATCGGTTAGCTTCTCGGATACAAGGCCAGAGGTGAGAATCAACCCGTGGCACATCGAGCTTCTTCCTGGGCCGTCGTCTCTGAGCCCTTGCAGCAGGGCAGCAGGGCAGCTAGCCAAGCCGCCACACCCCCACATGACCCTCGGCTCCCCCAGGGCTCCCCCCCCACGGATTGCAGAGTCTTCCAGATCCAGGTTAAGGTTTTAGGTGGGATTGAGGGGGGTATGGTGTTGGAGTTTGACGGTACTAGCTGGGTACTTGTAGGAGTAGAGGGCTTTGCTAGGCGATTAGATCAGCTTCGGCGAAGTAGATGGGAGCTTTCAGTTGGAACCCTCGGCGAGGCTGGACGGAAGTGGTGCATCTTGACACCACGAGTGAACTCCTTACATGACAATCCAAGATCGGATATCCGCACGGGAATGAGCAGGCCTTGCCAGGGATTCAAGATCCAAAGAGCAAAGCGCCCAGATTAGGAATCAGGTCTCTTTTTCCTTCGCTCTAGGACTTGTGCTCTGGGTCTCCGCCCTCGGCCCTTGGGGCTCCCACCTTCCTTAACGATCCAACGCCGGAGGAAGGGTGAATGGGCCTACATTTTGACAACTAGGGCTTGAGGCACTGCAAGAGCATGTGTCTCAAAAGCTGCAGGGAGTCCTGGAAAAGAGGCATCTCGACAAAATCGTGCACCTCTGCTGTCTTATTGCCGTGAAGAGGCACTCGCTATCTGCGCATACCATATGGATGCTAGCGATACAGATAGTTCGTTGAGCATCGACGACCGCACCCACGGCTTAGTCAAGACATTGAGCGAGAAAGCGCAGTCTGAAGCTCTGCATTTGTAGATAGCAGACTGCTCGTGGCAGGTCTTCCAGCCCAACCAGCTGAGTTGAAGAGCTTGTTGCGGATTCCGCCTTCAGGAAAAGGGCCAGGAGAGATGCAGCTCTGAAACTCCGTGCCAGTTGCTACGTTTAAGTCTCGCGAAGTTTGGAAGAAATGGGGCTGTCGCAGATTGGCCCAAAAGAAAGGACAAGGTCTCCTGCAAGTGCTTTGCGACTTTCCTGGCACCACCACATCAGCCATGGGTGTTGGGAGCTCCTACAACATGACCTGCCCTCCCGGTGGGGCGCTGATCACTTTGCAGGATCCGCAGGACTGAGCCGCGTGCTTTCAGGGCTCACATATGCCATCTCTTTTTCGGATCTCAGTCAAGTCTCAGTCGTTGTCTGAACCCTCGTCATGGTCTGAAGCTTATATGTCAACGGGTTATGTTGGATGTGCCCAGAAGTTACTCGCATTTGACACGAGGAGTGCATGCAAGGCAAGCCGGTCTTCAAGGAGACGGGTCGGGATTCTCTGGAAATTTCAGTGTGATGCGATGGTCTTGTGTGGTATAGTGAGAGGACTGTAGTTTCCATCCGGAGCAGGTGCCGTGACTGGCCGTGGAAGGTTCGCGAGAGGGGGTTCTTCCGCCCTAGAGAACGGCAGTGGGAAATCAGTACTCGCTTGGTGAGGAATCCACCAAGCCACCTATGCTGGCGGCCATGCCAGACAATGCGTGGAAGGGCTTCGCAAACAAGGTCAGCGACACATGTGCCAGGTGGCCTGCCAAACCGTTCCGGGATGACCTCCTTCAGTCCTGAGAGGTCTTCGAAGCCAAGTCTTTTTCCACGGTTGAGCAGCGGCTGTCGTTGTCGTTTTGCAACTCAGGTACTGGGATGAGAGGTTGCCTTTCCTTGGCCTTGTCTTCGCCTTGTTTCCGTTCGTGAATGCCATCCTCACTTTTGCCAATGCCGGCACTGATACGGGGTTCGGCGTGACCAACTTCATCTCTATTGGCTTCGTCTTCTTGGCTGTTGGCATCGTCTTCGGTGGCCGCGTCCTGATCTGCAACTTGAACCAGGCCCAGGACCACGCGATAAGGATGGCGTGCGAGGAGTTGAGAACGACATCACAGGGTGCCTTCACCGCGGAGTATCGAACGATGTGGACGGGCCCATGCAAGCCCAAGCATGCGCGCACCATGCGCGTCATTTGCATCTCCTCGGCTTCCGGCGTGGCGGGCATGCCGGGCATGGCGCCTGTGCAGAGCATCACGGTCACTGTGCCTGCAGGTGTCAGTCCAGGCTTGGGTACGTCGGCAGCCAGACATACGTGCCTGTTCCGTTATTACTATTACTATTACTAATACTAATACTATTATTATGATTATTACTATCATTATTATTATTATTATTACTATTATTGTTATTATTATTATTACTACGACATGAGCCCCGTCCCAGCTTTGTGTTTCCAGATGCTCGGCCTGATTGGCCCTCGGCAGGTACGACACTGCAGGTGCAGACCCCCACCGGCATCCAAAGTGTGACCGTCCCTCCCGGAGTTTCTCCTGGACTGTCTCGCTTCATAATCGCCGTCAGAGTAGCCACGCCGAAGTAGTACTTTCAAAC